TAACCCTTTTGACAGTGTTGTTTTACCATTGCATTTGGTAAACAACCTTGTATTTAGGATGTTAAACGGGACTGGCGCGGGTCATCGTATGGACCATGATAGCAATTGTGCTAAGTATCTTTAGCAAATTTTTGAGGGACTAGATCATTTTGTTTAGGCAACCAAGATAGCGTCATCGAGGGACTATGATCTTTTGTTTTGTTATTGTTTTGCCAAGATACTTAACATGCATAACATGGTCATTTTCAAGGCAGCAAGTGGATGAAACCCTAGGGGTGCATGTGTGCATTGTGTTGTCAATTTATATGCTTTTTTGTCTTTGTATTAGTCAAGCTATTTTTGTTTTGATTTTGGATTTTTTTGCATACAAACCCTAATCTCTACATGTCATATTTTGAAAGCATAAATGCGTAAAATAAATTTATACTATTATAACATTTGATATGGGAATGGGGGTACAATCTTTGAATAGGGGATTATTTTGCAAGAAATTAAAACCCTAATATTTACTATTACATCCAAATTGTATAAATGGTACAAATAAATAAATGAACAAGTATTTAAATGATCAATTAAATAAATGTACAAAATATTATGAATATGAAAAAATGTTTTTGTTTATTTTTGTATGTATGTAAAAAATATTTAATGTACATAAAGAAAAGAAATAAAAGATTATATTTTTTATTAAGGGTAAAAACCCTAATTTTCTTTAAGAAAACATTGTTTTTTAATATTATTTATTTATGTAAAAAATAAAAATATATTCAAGTGTCAAAAAATGAAATATATTAGAAAGAAAAAATATTATTTTAAATGAGGGTAGAAACCCTAGTTTTTTGTTTTAAGATAATATATACTATATTAATTATTTTGTGTACAAGAAAATAAATATAAATATATACAAATATTTAGAAAAATAATAATATATGAGAAATATTATTTAAATATATAAATACTAAAAAAAATATTATGTATTGTTTACAAGCTTTTATTTGAGAAAATAAATAGCATGTCTAATTAAAAATTATTTTCATGTTAGAAAAATAAAATAAAACATAAAAATAAATGTGAAAATTTATAAAAATATCTTTAGTATTTTTTATGTTTAGGAAATAATAAAATAAAATCAGAAATGAAAAATAAATACAAAAATACAAAAATATAAAGAAATGGGCCAGGGGGTGCAATCAGCAAGGCATGGGGTGTAAAAAACAAAAAGCAAAAGCCCAGCCCAATTCCAAGCTTCATCTTCAACCTTGGCTCAAAAATACGCGCGCCTGTACAAAATATCCAGATCCTGCATACGTGCTCTAATGCAAAAACTCATAACATCAAAGTTGTAGCATTTTTCAAGACGAATTCAACCATATAAGAAACTTAATCTAACTCTCAAAGACCAGAGAGAATTTCTCTGGCCCTAAATTCTAACCTAATTTTTTCAGGAAGTTCATGGATCAAATTCTCTTAACACGTTTAACTTAAATGAAAACTGAGCATATGTACAGCTTCATGGCTATGAGTACTACATTTTTTATTCACAAACCTAAGCCTAATGATTCCTAAATAGAGAGATAGAAAGTTGACAAAAACCTGTTTCAGTTGAACTCGTGTATGGAAATTTGGAGCTTTTCAGTGAGGCCTGATATGTTTGGGAGCTTGCTTGAACTTCCTCTGACCTTCCCCAATGCCTAGTTTACTTTGAATGTGCTTGAACAAGCTTGTAGAACTCAACCTGCACAAGCTGAAAACAGAAATGGTGAATCTTGCAAATGGAGTTACAGTCAGTGTCTAAGGGTTGGGATAGCTTAGATAGGTTATATGGAATGTATTGGAACAAGTTTGGGGCAAAACGCACGAGCAACTTGTGAGATAGAACTCAAAGTGCAGAGGTTGCCCTGTTTTTGCAAGAGGAAGGTGATTTTGTGTTTTGGAAGGTTTAAGGGCTCAATGGCTCGTGTTTCTGGCTCAAGGGAATGCACAAAACTTGTTTTAAAAGCTTTCCAGGGTTGGTTCTCTCAGATGTTCAAGTTCTCTTGATTTTTGCAAGTTTCTTGTATTTTAAGAAAAAGTGAGCCATGATGTAAGACAGGCCTGTACAGGCTATCTATCAGCTTGCACTTTACAATCTTGGTCCCCTCAGTTTGTGGATATTGTGTGTTGTACCAGATCTTGTTCAAGGCTCAAGGATTCTATTTGACATAAAGCAAATTTGACAAAAATGGCAATGTTGCCTTTTTGCTATTTTAGGGTTAATTCTTTGTGTAATCCTCCCATGACTAGAACAAAGCCTCAAACCAACGGATTTGCATTTAATTATTGATTATGGAAGGGTTTTGGGACCTGTAATCAAGTACAAACAAAGCTGATTAGAGTTTGCAACTTGTATCAATATGAAAATGCCATGGACCAAAAGTGAGTTTTTGCCAACTTCAAGCCTTCGATTCTCCCTAACCACAAATGATTTTGGAGAGTTCTTGGATATTTTGGAAATCTTGTAAAATGCTCTAAAATCCATCTTTTAAATGCATTTTTAGATTCCAAGTGGAACTATGTGAAAAATGGTCATGAAGATAGGTCAAAATCCTGCCTAAACTAGGGCAAAATTTCACTAAGTTAAAAGTTTCATGGCCCCTTGTTCCAAAAATCATAACTTGAGATCCAAGCTTCTTTTGGGAAAACTTTGTGAATAAACTTTGTAGACTTTGTGGAGGAATACAACTTTCATGTTGGAAGTTTTGTTTGAATCCAATTGCATCATGGTGAAAATGTTGGGCAAAGTTGGGAAAAAATAAGAAAATTTCATAACTTAGAAAAATTCTAAGTTATGAAAATTTTCAATTTTAAACCCTAATTTGCAAAATTAGGTTTCTTGATGAGCAAGTTTCATTTTTTGACACATATTGATGAAAAATGACCCTTGGCACTTGATTTTGACCAAAAAGTCAAAGTTTGACTTTTCAGTGTACAGTCAAATTTTGATCAGTTGACTAAAAAATTCATCTGTCAATCCAATGCATTTGAGATCTTTTGAACCTTGTGAATAGGTCAACATGATGCCATTGAGTACTTGAATCCATGCTTTAACCCAATTTGCCATTGGCTACATTAAAAATCAGAAATTGCCCTTGTGCAGTCAAAACCCTAAAAATGACCATTTTGCCCTTTTGATGATCTGATCAAATTTCTTGAGGAGTTTTGGTCCAAACTTCATCAAATGGTTCATATGAGTCTATAATGTTGATGTGGATCAAAAATTATGAGGTTTGACTGTAAATTGGCCACAGTTAATTTTTTCCCGAATACAGCTGATTTTTAGGTCAACTGTCCAATTGACTGGGCAAAAATCCGATTCAAGGCTTGAAACTTGGTAGAGGCAATCTTATAGGTCCAACATGAAGCATGAAATTCATTTTGAACATTGAAAGTCCAAAAATCTCTGTGTAAACTCAAACCCTAATTTAGGTCATCAGTGCAAGGAGATGTCTTGAGCAGAGCAAAACCTTAATCCTGTCTGGAGTTCAAAGAGTCTTGTGAGAGGAAATATTGATAAAATGAGAGGGTAAATTTTTGGGTACAACAGTGCCATAGAAATAGGTCTGGTACCAGGAACTAGATTAATAGAAAACTCCACTTCTCTTTCTAGCGGGACATCTGAAATATCATCTGGAAAAACTTCGGGTAAATAGCGCACCACCTGTAACTCATCAATCATAGCTTGGTTTTCAATAGACAAAGATGCAATTAATCAAAACACCTGAGCTTCATCATGCATCAAATCGTTCATCTACCTAGAAGACAAGAAACCAACTCCCTCTTCCTCATCAGGAGCAAGAAACTGCATAGATTTCTTGTAGCAATTAATATGAACATAATTTAATTCCAACCAGTTCATACCTAAGATCACATCTAGACCACTCAATGGAGAACAAACTAGATACACAGAAAAATCTCTGTCAAAGATTGACAAAGAACATTTCAAGCATACTAGAGAAGTAGTCACTGGTCCCTTAGCTGGAGTATCGATAACCATCTCCACATTCATAGAAGGCGACGCAAGATTCAACCTTTTTCACACAATCAACAACAATAAAAGAATGCATAGCACCAGTATCAATAATAGTAATTAAAGGAGTACTATTAATGAAACATATACCTATGATCAGTCTGTCTTCGCTAGATGTCTGATTCCCTGATAAAGGAAACATCTTCCCACAATATGAAGCTAGCTTTAGCTTCTGACACTGAGTACTGATATGCCCCTCTTCACCACAGTTGAAACATATCACCGCCTTGTGTTTGCAATCATCCACCTGATGCCCAACTTTACCGCAACGAAAAAATTTCTTTACACCTCCCGTACATTCACTGATTTGATGTCCCAACTCACCGTATTTGAAACACCTAAGGTTAGCAGGAGAACCTCTCTCACTTGGACTCTTACCATCAGTAAATTTTTGTTTGCCCTTGTCAGCTGGAGCATTGTAAGGCTTCCCACTGTTCTGATGTGGCTTGCCTCTCCTCTCTCTCATAATCTTGTAATGATCCTTACTACCCTCTTCATAAATTCTGCAGTTGTTCACCAACTCTGGAAATCTACGAGTATGATGATACCCAATCTCCCATTTGATCTCAGGATGCAACCCATTCTCAAACTTTATACACTTCAATAATTCAGCAGTCGCTTCACTGTAATGCGGATAAAACTTCTCCAGTTCTACGAACTTAACAGCATACTGAGTCACAAAAAAATTCCCTTGTTTCGACTCTCGGAATTCAATCTCCTCCTTTCCGCGCACATCCTCTGGAAAATACTTCCTCAGAAACTCTCTGCTGGACACTGCCCAAGTAATAACTTCACCTACCGTTTGTAGCCTATAATGGGTGCCAACCCACTTGTCATCAGCCTCCTCTGCCAGTATATGTGTACCAAACCGCACCTTCTGCGCCACTAAACAGTCCATGATCCAAAAGATCCTTTCAATCTCTTTCAGCCAAGCCTATGCCCCATCATGATCATACCTTCGTTTGAAAATAGGAGAATGATTCCTCTGAATCATTTCCAAGACACGGGATCCATCATTTCCACCAGCATTAGGCTGATGTTGCACAACCTAAGCATTAGCCTGCAAATCAGCAGCAATCACAACATCATTTCTTCCAGTCATTTCTTTTTTCCACGCCATCACATAAAATAATGGTTAAAATAAACACATCAATAATATTCAACAGTTACATCACACTACAAACTCAACAACTTGGTCGGATGGACCGACCTGCTCTGATATTATTAATGTAACACCCTAAATTTCCTGGAGAATAATAAATAAAGATCAGAGTAATTTTAAAGCAAAATAGGATGCCACATTTTTACAAACATACAAAAACCTGCTCATATTAAGTATAAGATACATAACACGAATAACAGATGAACCAAAACATAAACTCATAGTCTTCAACTTTAACTTTTATTAATGCAATGGAAAAATAATCATATTTGAAGTCAAATAATCTCTTAAAAAAATCAACATTTATTCAAATCATAAGGAGTTCCTAAGACTCCAAAAAATTACTAAAACAACAAAATAAATAAGCATTTATCCCCCTAATGTTATGTATCAGAGCAATGAAGCCAACTCGAATAAAGTTAAGAGCAAACTCTTCCAAACTCTACAGCCTCGTACTACTCCTGACTATTTGTACAATGTCGTATAAAGCATCATTCTAACATAAAGGTGAGATATCAAAACAATATAAGAGAATGTATCATAATAAGTATACAGTGAATATAATCAGGCATGGTCATACATTCCACATCTCACACATTCACACCATCGACAACAACTATATTACATATTTCTTGTACAATCACACATGACCATCTGCACATATCAATAATTATCATGTAGTAAATACACCAATCACACAACTCATACATCATGTTAACAACAATGCAATGCAATGAGACCGACTCACATACTCAATGCATGTGGTACCAATATCGCTCCTGAATCCATGCCATATAGGACCAATGCCACCATTATCAAGGACAATTTGGTTCACATTGCTCCCGATCCACGCCATCTAGGATCAGAGCCAACAAACAGGACTTAAGTCCTCACCATGTATGCATGCAACATAATTATGAAATAATTACCATACATTGACATCCACATCCATCAATGTAACAACCTACCATACACTGATATCTACATCCATCAATGTAATTGGTCATCATAGACCACCAACAAATAACACATACCACATACAATCCATAATACTCAGACAAATTCAAATAACATCATTAAAACATCCTGAATTATCAATTACACAAGTCATTTACACAACTTTCACAAAACAACATAACTCGACAGTATGAAAACTCGTCTAAGCTTCAAATAGTTGGAATTTTGGAACTAAAAATATTTTTTGAGAGAACTACATTAAACCATATTTCCAAACAATCAGAATCACGCGTCAATCGGATCTTCGAAGCTCGAGTTATGAATTTTCGAAGTTTTTGATAAAACAGTTCCAGTCCCAGATAATTGGTTACTTCAAGCCAAGTAATCGGTTACTTCATCTTTTATACGCTTATGTTAGGAAAAATTGGTGCCATGTAACCAGTTACTTCAACTTTACAGAAACTAATATTTTCAAATTTCCATCAAGTAACTGGTTACTCCAACTCAAGTAACCGGTTACTTCACTGAACCAGAGCCACAAACCTGCTATTTTTCCAGATTACTAAAATGCTTTCTTTTAAACCCAAAACCCCAAATAGCAACCAAATGACACGTTTATAACTTTCACCATTTAGACATGCATATTACACAACATTTTTATTCATTTTATAACACCAATTTCACTAATTTAAGTGCACACATACCAACAATTCATCAAATATTTTCAATCATTAAAAGAGAACAAAATCATGAACAAATACAAAACAACCATGGAAATCAAAATCCCTACATACCCATCATTATACCATCCCTTAGAAAGTTGGAACCCCACCCTTATCTTAGATTGAAGGTTCCCAAGCTCCTACAATGGATTCTTCTTGCCCTATATTTTTATCACTTTCTCGCTTCCACTTCTCTCTGAGCACGATCATTCCCACCGATATTATTCAACTCTCAAATTCTTCCTTTTACTAATTTAACCCTTAGACCCCTATTTGGCCTTCCATTCTTAGCCTCACTAAACCTCATGCAATGACTATCTTGCCCTCATTATTTCTACTCATTATATCTAACTTTAATTATTAAAACAACTCTAACCATTATTCATGATTCCAAATAATTTCTAATTAAATATATAAATTAGAAATAATCCTCACTACTACTTCAATTCGACACTACCCCCATCTAATAACATCAAACCATTTATTGCATCAAATAAGTCACAAGAAACCAATCAAATAATAAATTTAATATTCGGGGTTACACAAAATGATCAATATGAATTAATTATTTCATGGATTCCTTAAAGGAACATGACAAGATCAACCAACAACCAATCAACAATATGAACCAAAAAATTATCACACAATCATGTACACAAGTACCATGGATCAGGCACCATTATTATACAAAAATTGCATTAAGATATGTAAAATAAAGATGACAAAATTAACATAAAAATTGATCATAAGCGATGAAAAAATAGTCTAAATAATTTCTAAAATTCCAAAATATTTCCTACTGTTTTTTATGTATCTTTTATTACTACTTTTATTATCAAAATTAATGAAAAGAAGAATTAATAGGAAAAGTAGGGAAAGAAATGATAAAACTCTAAACAGAGGGGTGTATGATTTGGATCAAAGTGTATGGTCAGGAATGACACTAAAGTCCAACAGTGAGTCCACAAGCGTTTTGTTGGCAAACTTCTCAAGGCAAAAAACATACACGGGCTAGACAGGAGTGTAAAGTGCAGTTCATCCCAATATCATCATCACTAATCCTATTTTAAATCAGCATTATATTTTTCAGAATTTTATTTAATTAAAACTAAAAGTAAGAAAAAAAATAAGGTGAAAAAGAAAAAATGCAAAATGCGTGCGTTCCATGTGTGTAGAGTTATCCATATGTGACCACTCAACTTCATTTGAAACAAGCTTTCTTGCACCGCTCACACGACTTCTTCATCTTCTTTGCATAACTTTCGTTGCCATGAACGCCTTCATCTCCTTTACTGCTTCAAGTTCGCCGCCATTCAAAGTCGTGATTGTCCGTCCATCTCGCTCATTATTTTGTTCTTGGCTTCACCTCTTTAAAACATTGCCTTCGATGAACTCAATCAGTTGCGCCTCTGTCTCATTTGCTCAAGTCTCAGCATCCATTCATTCAAATAAACAACAACACATATGCCAAAGATTTACATACACAGGGATAGGGAAAAGATAAATGAGTTTAAGGCTTACCTACTGGAGTAGTTCCGGCGACTCTTCGACGACGAATACACTATTTTTCATTTGATTTTGTTTCCTCTTCATCTCTTATTCTTTTTTTATTATTTTTCTTCTTCTGTGTTCTGCATTTCTGTATTGTTCTTGTTCTGTTGATGAATATTGCGTTGCTTGTGTTTGATGAAGATGAAAATTTGGTTACTCTTGAAACAAGCGGGAGGATAAGGAAGGTACGGTTGCAGATTTTTTATTGAAGAGTGGAGGTCTTTTTGTTATGTTTCTGCGATGATGGTGATTAAGATTGAGCAAACTGTGAAATTGCTGATAAATAAATGATGTAGAAGTGCAGAGAACCTTGATGGATTTTAAGAGAGTTAGAAGAATTTTCTGGAGTTTTGTGTATAATGGATCTGAATTGAGATTGAAGAAAGAAGAAAGCTTATATAGTCTATTGAGTTAGTTACATGAGAGTGAAACTTAGCCTTTGATTTCAAGAGTTTGTTATGGTAAATGGAAGGCCGAGATTTGATCAAATGAGAGGTTTGGTAATATGAAATTTTGTTACGCGATGATTATCTGAGCTGTAATTTCTGTTTTTGATTTTGAGTTAATTCCTTTTTTGATTTTATGATTTAATATTTTTTCTTCTCTGACTTTCTGTTATGGTTTTATGGAACAAGTGCGGGGCTGGTTGCAATTTTTCAGAAGTTTGATTTTCTGTTTTTGAACCGTCTCGATTTTGTGATGTTGTATGAGGTTTTAATTGGAGCAGAGCATCTATTTTGGAAAGTGTTTTAGCAAGCGTTTATAAGAAATATTGGGGACTGTTTTGGGAAATTTGGCAAGGATTTGGCAAAGTATTGGCATGGAAAAGATTCAAGCATAAATTTAGACAAATTAGCTTGTATTGTTCTTACTTGTTTATGATTCTAATTGATTATGTAATTATATTATTTGGTCTGTAACTTGGTTGGAACTTGAATGAGTTTCACCATTTTGTTTTAAATCTAAAGATTCCATGTATAAATCTTATGTCCATTTTGAAAATTATTGCATCTTGTCGAATCCCTTGGTCATGAAATCATAAACTTTTGCAAATTGAAACTCCTTTGAATCTTGCTTTAGATGCATACTGAATGAAGAAATACCTTGAGGTGATGGAAAGAAACCAAACTCTAGCTCCTAAATTAGACCCTTGATGTAGCAATGGGAATTTTCTTAGAAGCTCAATGATGAAGAAGATGGCTTAAGATGCTGAAGAATGCCAAAACCCTAGTTTAAAGCAATCTCAATTGACAATCCTTGATGAGGTCTTAAGCATACACAAATGAACCTTAGCACTTGACGTTGAGATGATCTTCTATCTTGATGAAAGAAGAAACTCACAATAAACACAAAACCCTAGCTTCCAACCATAATTGATTGAGAAACTAATTGAATCAACCTTGAATGAAGATGAGAGCCTAAAAGCACAGAAAAACCCTAATTTTCCAAATCCTTGAACCCATGCCAAAATTATTAATGATGCATGATTTACTTTATGAGCTAATGGAAATAATGCAGATGAATGAAAAGCCTAAGCCAAATAAAAAGTGAAAGGGTAGGAAAATTTTAGGGTATGACACATATCAGGAAATTAGGAATGTTCAACAAAATAATTTTGGGGGGAAAATAACCTGGCAAATAAATTTGAACATATCCTGACCAAAAATGGACTTAACGTGCATCCATAGGCCACATCCTGTCTCTGCGCTATCTGCATATGAGTTGCAAACCGAATTACCCATGGGTTAGACGATCCCTAAGTTCCCTAAGTTTATAGGAGACACTAATGAGTCCACTATCTAGCATGTCCCTTGATATCAATTAGGGGCAGGGGATATAGCCAATAAAGAAAATTTGAAGCTGAAATATTTCCCTAATTACTTGACCAAGAATTCCTTCACGTGGTTCACCACCTTAGATATAACACCCTTTGATTATAATAACAAGAATAGACCCCGCTGAGTATAATGGACGTGAGGGGTGCTAATACCTTTCCCTCGCTTAATCGACTTTCGTACCCTTTCTCTTGGTCGCAAGACCCTCTTTTCCTTCATTTTGGGGTTTTCTCAATATTTTCCCTTCCTCCGAGATAAATAAAGTCCGGTGGTGACTCTGTATTTTTTTCACGGTGCGACAATGGCGTTGAGAGGGAAAGATGAAGAGTAAGAAATGAGACTGAACATGGGTTTTTTCCCCTCTGATCATTTCACTCGGGCCTTTTCCCAAATAATCGCAAAGCCCGATAGCCTAACTTACTAGTGTACACACCTTAATTTCCATTCACCACACCTTTTTGTGTTGAAAAGCAAAACAAGAACATTGGGCCTCTGATCCCATAAGCCCAATTGCGCCCTTATGACCTCATACCACCAGTTTTGTATTAACACCCCCAGAGTCTTTTATTTATTTCCTTATTTTTTTATTCTTTTTTTTTATTTTCTTCTTTTTTTTTCTTTAGGTTTTTTAACTTTTAGAAAATAATAATAATCTTGATAATTTGACTAAGCTTTAGTATAATTTTTTTAGAGTATTCTTTAATTAAATTATGTAAGCATGTGTTAGAAATTAGGGTTAATCATGTTTTGACCTTATGTTTCTTCTTCTTTTGGTTCATGATAATCATTGCTTGATTCTTATCGATTGAATGTTTATCATAAACATGACTTTGACCTATAATCCCTTTTACATGCTCCTTTAGGATTTTCAATTAATTGAGTTTTGTCACTTGGTTAATTTGAATTAGAAACATTAGGAATTGTTACCATACATGTTCTCTTAGGTCAATTCACAATTCAAAAACCCTATGAAATTTAGGTAAAATCAAAGCATGACAAGATTGGTATTAATTCCCAACTTTTTGGCCCATGTTTCTTTTATTTTATCCATGTAAAGCTAAAATCCTTTTTTTTTTTTTGCAAATAAACCATAAAATACTTAAATAAATATGATGCAAATTTTGCGTCATTAGCCTTAAGAAATAGAGAAGGAATAAGAGGGTGTATTCTTATCCTTATTCTGAATATCTTTGGATACGGGACGAATGACCTAGTTATTCAAAGTCTTCACCTCTATTCATAGACTTTAGAGCGATTCAAATCAAGGCGATTTTTCATAAAGGATGAAAAAGGAATTGGTGGTGTATTCTTCCCGATTCTTCGCATACCTAGATGTGTCTCCTAAAATTAAATCTCAACCAATCAAACTCATTTTCTGCATTTGGGCTTCATTTCAAAACTTTTCATAAAGGACAAATTATTTTTTTCTACCGCAATACAAATGTATGCTTAAGCCTCCTCACGCGCACGCATCATACAAGCAAGGTTAATTTCTAGGACGTGATTATTAACGCCGTTCAATAAAATCAACCAACAAATACTATTTTTAACCACGAACTATGGGGCTCTGGTTTTCTTGTTGCACTATGAGAATACGTAGGCACAAGATTTCGAAATCTTGGCGAGCATACTAATTAAAAAAGTATTACATCCTTAATTAAAGCTACTAATCATTAATAACAAGTAACATTTAGATAACAACATCCTTACACACAAAACAATCAAAATGGCTCCCGTTGAGTACAACAGATGTGAAGAGTGTTATTACTTCCCCTTGCATAATTGACTCCTGAAATCAAATTTGTTTGTGAAACCATTTTTTTTCACTTTAGGGGTTTTATTGATAATTTCCCTTTCCCTACGAATGAATAAAGTTTGGTGGCGACTCTATTTTTTTTTGCGGTGTGACAATGGACACGTTGGACTACCCTGAAAAAGTCAAGGTGGTTTACCCTAATGCTGAAGAAGAGATGATTGATTTCTTAAATGGCTACATCTGACCTTATGTTTTGATGATAACTTTACATGTTATCTTTGAGAATAATTGTGTACTCTAACAGGTTTCTGTCTAGTGTGTGGCTTTTGTTATACAGGTTCTGACTTTGGTAAGAAGGTGTGTGACGTCACCAGGTTTTGAATTCAACACTTTGGAAGAATACCTTTGGTGTGTTACAAAGTTAAGTAAAGATTAAGGAATACATCTTATGCATCGGTTCTAAGGAACATTAGTAAAAGAGATTATAATTGTGACTTACTCAAGGAAGCTTTGGAGGCCTTCTAAAGCTTTACTTCTGATGTTCCAAAAGTTTTGAAGATGCTGAAGACAAGGTTTTGTTGAATGAGTTGTGAAGATCTTAAGACATTATTCTGAAGATCAAGCACTGAAAACTGAGAAGGCAAGAGTTCTCTAAATAAGCCATGTAAAGTTCTTATGACTTAGGTTCTGAAGATACATAGTTCTTATCCTTCTACAACATGCTTCACCAACAAACATATAAAAAGCCTCTGAAGACATAGAAGACAAAGATCAAGACTAAGGGATTGCGTGTGATGGTGAGTATAAAAGTACAGAAGTACACTGTGACCTCTACTCCCTAGAGTGGCGCAAGGACAAACCTTTTTTTACTATTGTCTACCACTCTCACCATGACCGTTGGGAACAATATAACTGTATTTGTATTTCCTATTCTACCCTCCAACAAATCTCTTCTTTTCAGCTATAAAAAATTTACTTGGAAGAATTTGAAATCAATGAATGAGTTCAACAAAACTACATTAAACTGTTGTGCAAAAACTCTGTAGAGAAATCTTTTGTATAGCTTTGTAAATAAGCAAGGACTTGTTGCATGTATCTTGATATCAACACTTTTGTGTTGTTGTACTTGAACATTGTGTAATCTGCTTGTGTAGAAGCATATTTGTATACACATATTTGTAATCAACTATTGTTGATAGGTTCCTTGAGAAACTCTGTGTAGTCTGGATTCTCAAGAAAACTTTGGATGCGGTCATAGTGCTTCGCCTCACCTATCTTCTCTTAAATCTAATATGGACCAACAAAATGTGGCGTAAGCTTTCTCGACTTCAATGCTCCACCCATACGAGTCACCAGAGTAACTCTCAAAAACACATGGTCATCCTTTTGGAATTAGATTTCCTTCCTCCTCTTGTCATGATAAGCCTTCTGACGAATTTGAGAAACTTTCAGTCGCTCTTGAATCATATTAATCTTTTAGTCGTCTTCTGTATGATCTTATGTCCGAACACATCTCTCTTGCCTGATTCATACCAACACTATAGAGTCCTACACCACCAACCATACAACGCTTCATACGGTTCCATACCAATGCTCACATAAAAAACTATTATTGCACATAAACTCAATCAGCGACAAGTGACTATCCCAAGATCCTCCTTGTTCTATCACATAAGCCATCAACAAATCCTCCAAAGAGTGAATAGTCCTTTATGTATGACCGCCCATCTGTGGATGGTATGCAAAGCTCAACCTCAACTTAGTACCAAAAGAATTCTGCAAACCTTCCCAGAAATTCAATGTAAACCTCAGATCTCTATCTGACACGATACTCGAAGGTATTCCATGTAACTTCATAATCTCATCAATATACAATTCCACTAGCTTCTCCATAGGATGATTTATCTTCATCGATAAGAAATGAGCTGACTTAGTCAACCTATTCACTATCACCCAAATTAAATCATTGCCTTTAGCAGTATTCGACAAACCCGACAAAAAATCCATAGAGACATTGTCCTATTTACACTCTATGATACTCAAAGGTTGCATAAGACCCATAGGCTTATGATGTTCAATCTTTGACTTCTGACAAGTCAAATAAGCATAAACAAATTTAACAATTTTCTTCTTCATACCAGGACACCAAAATATCTTCTTCAAGTCTTGATACATCTTTGTAGCACCAGAATGAATACTCAACCCGCTTCGATGTCCATCTTCAAGGATATTTCTCTTAAGTTATAGAATATCCGGAACACACACTCTATTTCGAACCTCATCACACCATTATCATCAACTTGAACTCACCTCAAGGTCAACTGGTCAACCAACTTCAAATCATATTTCTGACCTTCTCGGATTTCTCCTATTATACCACTAATCAGTTTCAACATTCCCAACTTCATGCTATCGGGAGTCTCTTCACATACTAAGCTCACATCTCTAAATTGTTTGATCATTTCCAACACTTGAACCATAAGCATTGACATATTCAATGATTTTCTACTCAATGCATCGACAACTACATTTGCTTTACCCGGATAGTAATTTAAATCAAAGTCATAATCCTTTAACAACTTAAGCCATCTTTTATGCCTCATATTCAACTCCTTCTGGTCGAACAATTCTTTCAGACTCTTATGATCACTAAACACTTCAAATTTAGAGCCAAAAGATAATGTCTCCAAATCTTCAACACAAACACCGCAGATGTTAGCTCTAAGTCATGCATAAGATGATTCCTTTCATTAACCTTCAATTGTCTAGAAGCATAAGCCACAACTTGTCTATTTTGCATTAGCACACCACAAATACCCATCTTAGACTCATCATAATACACCACAAAAGCATCACTTGGATTAGGAAAAATTAATACCAGAGCAGTCGTCAACTTCTTCTTCAATTCTATGAAAATTTCTTCACACGCAACATCCCACACATAAGCTTGACCCTTTCGAGTCAACTGAGTTAACGGTAATTCCAACTTAGAGAATCCTTTAATGAACCTTTTATAATAACCGTACAAACCAAGAAAAATCCGAATCTCAGTTGCAGACTTCGGAGTCTCCCATTCCAACACTGCACCAACTTTAGAAGGATCCATATTGATTCCACCACTAGAAATCACATGACCAAGGAAACTCACTTATTTTAGCCAAAATCCGCACTTCGACAGCTTATCATATGACTTCTTCTCTTTAAACACTTGCAACACAATTCTTAAATGCTCTTCATATTCTTCTTCGGATTTGGAATAGATCAGAATATCATCGATGAAAACCACAACAAACTTATCCAGATACGAATAGAAAGTTCTATTCATATATTCCATGAAAACACCTAGTTCATTAGATACACCAAACAGCATCACAATGTACTCATAATGACCATACATCATTCGAAAAGCCGTATTTGGAATATCGTCAGGTTTAACACGAATTTGATGATAATCTGACCTCAAACCAATCTTGATGAAAACACGAGCACCCACTAACTGATCCATCAAATTGTCAATCCTCGAAAGTGGATATTGTTGTACCCCAAAATTTACCCTCTCATTTTATCAACATTTCTCATCACAAGGCTCTTTGAACTTAAGACCAAGCTAGGGTTTGCTCTGCTCAAGACATCTCCTTGCACTATTGACCTAAATTGGGGTTTGAGTTTGCACAAAGAATTTTGGACTTCTAATGCTAAAAGTGACTTTCATACTTCATGTTGGACTCATAAGTTTGACCATACCAAGTTTCAAGCCTTGAATCAAATTTTAGCCCAGTCAATTGGACAATTGACCTAGAAATCAACTGTATTGGGGAAAACGTCAACTGTGGACAATTTATAGTCAAACCTCATGAATTTTGATCCACATCAACATTATTAACTCATATGAACCATTGGATCAAGTTTGGACCACAACTCCACAAGAAATTTGATCTGATCACCAAAAGGGCAAAATGGTCATTTTTAGGGTTTTGACTGTACAAAAGCAATTTCTGATTTTTGACCTAGACAATGGCAAATTGGGTTCAA